ATAGAATATGTATTCTTTGGTTTAGTTTGGCTTGGTTTATTTTGTTCTACGGCATATAAACACCTTAATGCGTTATTTAATGCCGACAAGATTTTTAGGATAAGTTCGTATGAATAGAAAATATATTCTTTGTAATTAATCTGTATATCAGGTTTAAATATCATATTTTTTTAAAGAAGGTTTTTGTCGAGAGTAAAATGTATGGCTGGTATTTATTTTAAAATGTATTGCTGGTATTTTTATTATAAATATCTATTCTTATAATTTCATAATGTTTTGACCCCAGTTTATGGGTTAAATATTTGTTCATAGCTGTGACCCTAACAGGTGCTACCACCCCGTGTCAGGATGGACCTGGAAACAACATCAGTTAGGTGGTTTTACACTCCTCAAAACTCCTCGATCAGAGACCTTGCTACCGGATGTAGTTTATCGTCATACCAGGACACCAGGTTTTGGTAGAGATGACAAAATACAAAACTGACTGACAGTATCAAAGCACAGGAAATTGTGGAGAGTCATGATCGCTGACGTCTTGAACGGGTACAGCACACAGAGGAAGATATAAGAAGAATCCAGTTTTTTTCCCTGTTCTCTTGTTCAGCTTCTTTCTTTTCCTTCTTCAATCTTCACACGTCTGGTCTGTCACTAAAACAACAACTGATACTCTCACACTAACAGGATAACTAGAGACAAAGAAAGAGAAGACAAAATGACCCAAGTGTCTATCATTTCAATATCATTTAATTCTTTATCTCACGCCCACAAAATCGAGTGGGGTTAGGGACAGGAGCCCCGAATAAAAACAAGCCTAACCTTATATCTTTATCTTATACGTCTATCTTAGTTTTGTGTTGATTAACGCCATCAGCTCCAACCAACCCTAGGCATAATCTTTCGTTTGCTACGAAGATTCTATCGTGACGTGTCGGTGAAATTAGGAAAAAAAGTCATTTGAATCAATTTGACTTTATGAAAAAAAAAAAAAAATGGAGAAATAATGGAAGAGATGGCCGGCGTATTTCGTGTCTGTCAATCATTGATCAAAAACAATTGTCGTGTTTCAATCAAAAGGAAGGACGAATCACAAAAACTAAGACAAGATTATTAGCGCCATTCGCGTTGACCGTGAGACACGTGACAGTTTTAATTTCACTCTTATTTCGCTTGTCATATTAAAGAGAAAACAAATTTCAGATTTGTGGTTTTTCTTTTTTTTTCCATTTTTGCAATTTCCTCTTTGAATCAATTTCACTTGATTTTCCATTCCATTCTTTCTTTCGTTCTTCCTTTTCCTTTCTGTCTTTTTCTTCTTTCTTTACCTTACTGTCTTTCTTTTATTCTTTCTTTTCCTTTCTGACTTTCTTTTGTTCTCTGTTTTCCTTTCTGTCTTTATTTCGTTCTTTCTTTTCCTTTCTGTCATTATTTTCTTCTTTCTTTTCCTTTCTGTCATTCTTTTGTTCTCTGTTTTCCTTTCTGTCTTTATTTCGTTCTTTCTTTTCCTTTCTGTCATTATTTTCTTCTTTCTTTTCCTTTCTGTCTTTCTTTTCTTCTTTCTTTTCCTTTCTGTCATTCTTTTGTTCTCTCTTTTCCTTTCTGTCCTTCTTTTCTTCTTTCTTTTCCTTTCTGACTTTCTTTTGTTCTCTCTTTTCCTTTCTGTCTTTATTTCGTTCTTTCTTTTCCTTTCTGTCATTATTTTCTTCTTTCTTTTCCTTTCTTTATTTCTTTCGTTCTTTCTTTTCCTTTCTGTCTTTTTCTTCTTTCTTTACCTTTCAGTCTTTCTTTCGTTCTTTCTTTTCCTTTCTGTCTTTCTTTCCTTCTTTTGTTCTTTCTTTTACTTTCTGTCTTTCTTTTCCTTTCAGTCTTTCTTTCTTTCTTTTCTTTTCTTTTCTGTCTTTCTTTTGTTCTTTCTTTTCTTTTCTGTCATTCTTTTGTTCTCTCTTTTCCTTTCTGTCTTTCTTTTCTTCTTTCTTTTCCTTTCTGTCTTTCTTTTCTTTCTTTTCCTTTCTGTCTTTCTTTGTTGTTTCTTTTCCTTTCTGTCTTTCTTTCGTCCTTTCTTTTTTTCTGTCTTTCTTTTCTTCATTCTTTTCCTTTCTGTCTTTCTTTTCTTCTTTCTTTTCCTTTCTGTCTTTCTTTTTTCCATTTATGCTTCTTAACTTTTCTCTCCATATTTCTTACTTTATTTTTCTTTCTTTTCCATTTAAGCTACATTTTTTCTTTTTTATCAGTTCCACTTACTTTCCTTTTCCATTTCTTTCTTTCTTTTTCCATTTCTTTCGTTTTTTTTTCTTTTTTCTTTTTTTTCTTTTTTAATCCAACAGGTTTCAGTTTTCTCTTTCTTTCTTTAAATCAAATATTGTCAAATGTTCCTTGTTTCTTTCTTTCGTTTAGTTTTTGTGTTTCTCTTTTTTTTATGCTTTCTTCTTTTTCTTTTCCCCTCTTTTAAAGAACTTTATTTTGTTTCTTTCTCTATCCTATTTTAATGTATTCCTTACACTTCGACTTCCATTTCTCCTCGGGCAGGTACAATTCTCTTTCTTTCTTTCTTTCTTTCTTTCTTTCTTTCTTTCTTTCTTTCTTTCTTAGTCCAAATGCTCTTTCTTTTCTTTTTTGAGTTTCACTTTTTTCATTTTCTTTTCCACACATTTAAAAGGCTTTATTTTGTTTCTTCCTTTCTTTTTTCCTATTTCAATGTATTTCCCACTTTTCGACTTCCATTTCTCCTCGCACAAGTACAATAAATTTCTCTTGCGTAAGCAATCACCATCATTGACTACACGCGCGCATGCGCTCTGTAAAAGCAAACGAGAGTACGGTCAATTCAGAAACCATTTGCGGGTGAAATGTATCAGGATCTTGCTCCGTGTCATCAGAATTCTTAAATATCTATTCGGCTTTCCATCATCCGAAATTCAATGCTAATTTAAAATCCCTACAGGGTTATCTCTCCCTTTTTCTCTTGATCTCTCTCTCCCCACCCTTGATTCCTTCGTAGATGTAGCTCCGTATGAGTGTTTACACATTTACAAATAAATGGTTTCTGAATTTACCGTACTCTCGTCTGCTTATACAGAGCGCATGCGCGCGTGCAGTCAATGATGGTGATGACTTACACAAACCTAATTATTGTCCATTAACAAAAACAAGATTAAGGAAATGTAAGTAAAAAAAAAAAAAAATCCAAGAGAATATGTCGGTGTACGTTTCTTCTTGGAAAAATGCAACAGGATACTATTTGTTTTATTGTGGGCTTCAACACTTTCGATGAGATTTTATAAGATCCTGACACATTTCACCCGCAAAGAGCTTTAGGTGGAATCGTGCAAGTCCAAAGGAAAAGTAAGACTATTTGACAAAATATTAACAAATATGTTGATAGGACATTTTTCAAACGGAAAATGAAATGTGAAAAGTTCAAAGCAACTTTTAGTGTCTGTAGTTAAGTACTCACATGTTGCGGGAGCGAAAACAATACGTCTTTTCGCTATGACAAATCACCGAGAAAGAGATTGGTACTTTCAAATCTCGCGCCGCCTTTAATTATCGTCAGGGGGCGGTAATTCAAAATCTCCCCGCCTGTAATTTTCGTCAAGAGATATGGTAATCCAACAGCCTCGATTGATATCAAGACGAACAAATACTCGCTTGTCTGTTGCAGGGGTTTTCTGAAAACTGAATGCGATACACCTAATTTCCTGAATCATTTTGAAATATTAAAATATCAGATAGAAAATATTTATCATTCGTTTCATTCAGAACCTAATTCTCTCATCATCATCCGTTTGCTTAAAAGCATTTAGCATTTGTAGCTTTCAATCTGTACAGTAAGAAAAGAAAAACGTAAAAAATACTTTTAAATTCTATTTACATTATTCGGACCATCGTCCTCATCTTCGTCGCCATATATATTACAACGTTTCGGCCGTAGTACGCTCCGGCCTTCTTCAGGTGGTTGGAATGTCGAACTGAACCCTTTATTTCGCCCACTGGAGTAGACTGTTCTAGTTCCACGTGCCATGGATGTCAGTTATCCATTATCTCCTGTTAATTTCCCTCACCAAGTTCTCCACTGCCTTAACCAGGTATTGAACTTTAGGTCCTGTCACTGGATCTAATTAACGTCTTTATCCACTGTGCCATGTATCCTTGTGGACATCTGTGTATGAATTTCTGGGTACTATAAGCCTAATGTCTTCAGCAACATTTTTTTACCAGTTCTCATTTTGCAATTTTGCTGTTATCATTTAATGTTTTTACCAGAACTCATATTGCAATTTTTGTTATTATTATCGCTTTTCTCTGGCACTTCTTATTACTGGTTCTATATTATATTCATTTCTATGCTTGGTTGGCTCAGGAGATTATTGTGGCTTAGCATATGTGCTGATTTCTTAAGCTTACGAATTTTCCAATGATGTTCTTTGTCTATGATCTCAACCTGATGCCCTTTTCTCTCCATATGTGGTCAGCCACGCCTGATTTTTCAACTTACCCTCGTGTTACAGATTTTTGGTGTTCTTGAAGCCTTACCTTAGGGTGGCGATCTGTCTCCCCTTTATATTTCTTCCCGCAGCTGCACAGGATAGCGTACACACAGTCTTTATATGGCGACGAAGATGAGGACGGTGGACCGAATAATGTAAATAGTGTACATAATACCTCATCTCAGAAATATGATAGTTAAGCAGAAGATCATTCCGAGCCCGCTTCAACATAGGTCGAACGCTTACGGCTATATCTCGATGAAAAACCGGTTCTCGTATAATCACCGAAGTTAAGCAACGTCTTACCATATCAGTACCTAGATGGGTGACCGCTTGAGAATAACAGCTGCTGTAAGCTTGAATATGCGAGTGGTAAAGCTTACGGCCATATCACATTGAAACAGCGGTTCTCGTACGATCACCGAAGTTAAGCAACGTCTTACCATATCAGTACCTTTATGTGTGACCGCTTGGGAATAACAGCTGCTGTAAGCTTGAATATGCGAGTAGTAAAGCTTACGGCCATATCACATTGAAACAGCGGTTCTCGTACGATCACCGAAGTTAAGCAACGTCTTACCATATCAGTACCTTTATGGGTGACCGCTTGGGAATAACAGCTGCTGTAAGCTTGAATATGCGAGTGGTAAAGCTTACGGTCATATCACGTTAAAACAGCGGTTTTCGTACGATCACCGAAGTTAAGCAACGCCGAGCCTTGTCAGAATCTAAATGGGTAGCCACTTGACAATACCACGTGCTGTAAGCTTGGATGTGCTCTCTTTTCTACAAATAGTAGTTATATTCAACTATGCGCAAATATCCTTGAGAAAGGTATAAATCCATCTCTTCTCCTCCAGCTATGGGTTCATTAGTAAGACTTGTATCGCTAAACCTTTATTAACTAAAAAATCGAAACATACTTTCTGGATTAAATAACCTGCAATGGGTCGATTTGCTAAACCGTAGAACACGAATCACTCAATCAATCAATCAATCCTGGTATCAATTAACAATTATTATATTTGATAAAAAAAGCCAAATATAATCAATCAATCAAGAAATTCAATTCGTAATTATTTCTGTATAATGCGAAAAGGAAGGTTGATCATATTTCATTGAATTTAAAAAAGTAAATGATGCGATAAATTTAAACAAATGCAGTTGAACCGCATTTCACGAATTTAATTCGTTCCTGAAGTCCGTTCGTAACCCGAAATGTTCGTAAACCGAAACTATTTTTCCAATAGGAATCAAAGTAAAATTGTTTAATCCGTTACTGGTCTGAAGATGATTGCTTATTTAAACTTTAAAAAACAGTACTTTGGGCACAAGTTTATACAAAAAAACTAATGAAAATCATTGAATATAAGAAAAAATAAATAAACCCAAACAGATAAAATATAGACGAACATTTCAATTTTACCGTACTTGTATGTAGGAAAGTTGATGGCGTAAGTGGAAGGGGAAGGTAAGAGATGTTATTGCTTGGAAAAGGGGAAGGAAAGACATGATCGTCTCTTTATTTATAAGAATAGTATAGATCGTTGATTTTGCTATATGAAAATGAATAGGAAGAGACAATATCATCAACAATTGTTTTTCTCTTAACTTTTCATTTTCCTTTACCAATATCACTGCTAGATTTCTTTGGAGCCATGACTGAGGACTAATGAAGAGAAAAAAATGGCACAATAAAATTGGAAAAGAAAAGCACAGCACAACACACGAATAACACATAACACGTGTAAAGAACAAACATGGCTAAAAAGAAGGGAGATAGATACAAGAATACCTCGATTAGTGCAGCTAATATGTATACCGCTAACTATAAAAAATCAATTTTCAAATACTATGCTTAAACTGAAGAATGTTTTACGTCACTAATCGAGTATTATGCACGCACTAATCGAATTTTGGTATATAAAAACTTTAGCGCACTAACCGAAAACGCATTAATCGAATCCGCATTAATCGAATCCGCATTAATCGAGGGATGTCTTTATATGTGTACAAAGATACGAAGAGCTCACGAAAAAGAAAAACATTTATGAGAGGAACTGTAGTGTGTGTGCATGTGTGTGTGTATGTGTGTGCGCGCGCGCGCGTGCGTGTGTGTGTGTGTGCGTGCGTGTGCGTGTGTGTGTGTGTGTGTGTGTGTGCGTGTGTGCGGTTGTGTGATGCGTGTGTGTGTGCGGTTGTGTGATACGTCCTATGTTTTGCTTTGAAGTAAATAGTATCTTTGCCGGCAGCTGCCTCTCAGAAGGAAGAAACAGGACAACCTCTTGTACCTACCACATCTTTTAAGAGTAAAACAGAGAATAAGGGTTTATGCCTCTTATTCATATAATATTGAATACAACGCCACCTATCGAAGATTATAGCAACCAAGGTGGCATAATCCACCCCCCACCCAAAAAAAAAAAAAAAAAACATAAACCGTCTAATTACTGGCTTTAAAATTTTACAACACCATTGGACTCTACATTGAGCAATAAGATATATAAGATGTATAATTACTCTCCAAGCTTAACAGAAGAATCGTGATGAAATCCACCATAAACGAATATGACATGTTCATCATTAATCATAGCTAAGGATCGGAAGCTCATGAAGGATTGAAATAAAGTTAAAATATATATACATATATATATAATTCCATGATCATTTTCCAACTTATTCAAGATGATCTTCATCCTCTCTAACTTCCTAATTTTCTGTCCTGGAACAACAAAGTGTCTCACAGATTTCATGTACGATTTTATTTTCAAGTCTTTTTTCACTGCTCTTTGGACAGGCATAGCTGAAAATCTTATCTCGCGTGCCAAACGTCTTATGGATTGAGTTGGATCTTTTCTAACTGATCTCTTTAGCTCTAAGTTGAAATGATGATCCCTATTCCTGTTGTGACATGTTCGTCCCGTTTTCCTCTCTACTGTTCGTTCTTTTTTAAACTTATTCACCGTTCTCTTGATGGTTCTTGAATGGACTTTAAATATGGAAGCCAAAGTATGAATATTTGTACCATTACTGAAAGCATGAATGATCATTTTCCTTTCGCCATTGCTCAGTTGGGAAGACAGTGGGGTTGACACAAAACGATTTTAACCTCTTCTCTTCCTAGCTGAATAATTCAAAGGACTTTTCAGTGTTTCTTAGAACAATGGTGTCAATATGGCTAAGCGACTTTTCTGAAAACCTGGAAAAAAGAAACTCATGTTAGTGTTTTTTTTTAGGTATTAAACATTTTGTAGGTGGACAATTACTCCATGCTGTTACACGATTTGGACAATTTTGTTGTTACACCCGATATTTATATATATATATATATATATATATATATATATATATATATATATATATATATATATATATATATATACGTGGCCTGACGATTGCATCTAGCATGAAACAGCCTGTCGCTTCTAAGTGTTGACTTCTATGTTCACTTTTATATTTACACACGCTCTATCTCTGATATTGAGCATTTTATCCCATAAATATAGCACATCTTAAGACTACATTTCTACATATCTATCTATCTATCTATCTATCTATCTATCTATCTATATATATATATATATATATATATATATATATATATATATGAGTGTGTGTGTCATAAATTTGGGTATGTAATCCCGACAGTCATTGACATTTGAAAATACGTTCATGGAAGTATGTTTCGAAAATAATATTCCATAATGCATTTCGCCTTCAAGGGCTTCATCAGATGGAAAACGAAAAATGTCTTGTGTGTGTGTGTATGCATTTGTGTGTGTTTAAAATAATTAAATCTTATATAAGTTGAGGTATTATGTACACTATTCGGACTATTGTCCCCAGCTTTGTCGCCATGTTTATCACAACGTTTCGGCCGTTGTACGATCCGGTCTTCTTCAAGTGGTTAGAATTATGAACCGAACCCTTTATTTTGCGTACAGGAGTAGACTGTTCTAGTTCCACGTGCGATGGCTAATGGATGCCAGTTATCTCCTGTCAATTCCCCTCTCCAAGTTTTCTTCCGCCTTAACCAGGTATTGAACTTGCACTCTTTTAGTTCCTGTCACTGCATTTAACTAACGTCTTTATCCACTGTGCCATGTGTGTTAAGAGATCATTTTTCAATCGTTATTAAGTAATAAACTCAACCTTCTACCCCATGTCAGATTTTTTTTATTCTGGTCAGTATTTTCACAATGAAATTGGTATTAACCAATCTACTGTTGGGGAAATATTCATATATATATATATATATATATATATATATATATATATATATATATATATATATATATATATATATATATATATATATATATGTGTGTGTGTGTGTGTGTGTGTGTGTGTGTGTGTGTGTGTATATTATCCGTCAATGCATTTCGCCTCTGTGGCTTCATCAGACGGATAACGAAAAAAATAGGTAGTGTTTCTATGCATCTGTGTGTGTTTAAAATAATTAAGTCAGATACTATTCTCCCAAAGCTGCCGTTTCTCGAGACTAAAAAAAAAAGAGAAAGAAAATGACTGACTTTTCCGCATTAAGTGTCAGAGTTTTGAGATGGAAAACCTTCAGGATGTGTAGAAAATAGATGAAAGAATTGTTTTTATCCATGCGTTTTCTTTCTCTCTGTTTGAGTATGAGAAGGCCACGTCAGATGCAATGACAGTTCCCCATAGGGGATGCAAGTTCGAATCCTGCCAGTGGACGCATATTTTTCTGACACGATTTCTCGAATATTCAGACCGGTAGATGTTGTTGGATAAAAAATACTGTTTAATTAAAAAAAAAAAAGGACCTTCTATTCGAATATGAGGATCGGTCAAAAATAACGTTTAAACAAAATAATTAACAAATAACGCGTGCACACACACGCATACACATATATTCAAACATATATTGTTAACTATAACAAACAACGAATGTCTATTATGTTTGATCATGAGCCGTTCTAAGCTTCGTAGAGTGGCTTTAATTTCTGGAGAAAATAAAGACAAAAACTGTCGAAGATTTGGATATTTTTTTATTATGCTGTTCTTCGATCTAATCTTTTGCTTCACATGAGCCATCATCAGATTGGTTAAGCTTAAATGTTTTAATAATGATATGCTACCCCAATACACTATATATATATATATATATATATATATATATATATATATATATATATATATATATATATATATATATTGTTATATATTGTATATATATATATATATATATATATATATATATATATAAAGAAATATAGTCTTAAGGTGTGCTATATTTATGGGATAAAGTGCTCAATATCAGAGATAGAGCGTGTGTAAATATAAAAGTGAACATAGAAGTCAACACTTAGAGGCGACAGTCTGTTTCATGCTATATGCAATCGTCAGGCCACGTGTGTGTTATTTTTCCCGGCTATTTATATATATACAGGTTAGTGGTGCATTGTGGGTATTCTATTATGGCGCTTATTTTTTACCGGAAGTCGCTTTGTTCATTTATTTGGGTCAATGTTATATTGCTCGTTTTTTTATTTTTTTTTTTTATTTTATTTTATTTTATTTATTTATTTATTCATTATTTTTTTTTTTTTTTGTTTCTTATTTTATTTATTTATTTATTAACGTAGTAAAAATTT